ACTTTAACAGTTGAATTAGGTATTGATGCCACGCTGGTGTGCTGTAATATTTAAGAAAAAACGTTTTTAATACTATTTATTTTCATGTTTGTTATTTGTGTTAAACATAAGAATAAGAATAGACTTTGCAATAACATATTTCTCTACTAACATCTCTCTCTAGCTGACTATTACTTTCTTTTCTCATGTTAGCTGATGCGCACAGTAGCCTGAAAGGTCACTGTAAAGAAACCCGTGTGCCTTTCCAGTGTGCAGTACTGTATTGTCAATCCACAAGTGTAGGCGTTCATTCTTATCATTCAGCTTAGAGAGCAACCAGCTCGGTAACTGCAGAAGTACTGAAACAAATCTACAGAAGGCACACAAGACCAAATCCTTAAATTTCCCTCAAATTAATTTAGTTTTTTTGTATCATGTAATATTCTAACCTTTTCTAAATTCATGACCAAAAATAAATTTCAGCATACACCTCATAGTTTAAACATACTACCTCACCCAGACACCATAGATCATTCCTTACTCATGACTTTTTCCGTTTATTTGTTGGTATACTTACATGGTTATGTTATAAGGCGATCTTTCTGCTGACCTTATTTTCAGTTTTCTGAATTTCAGATTTCTGGCATAGAATATGTTTTTATCACACATAACACTGATAACATTTATACAATCCAGCACTATAACAGCACTATAACAGCACAGCTCAAACGCTGGTGAGGGAACAATTGTTTATAGCTGCTTTAACATAAGTGATAACAGGAACTTATTTGTCTTGCAGATATTCCACAACATTATACATAATTATAAACAGTTAAAAAAGTATGAAATGTTGTTCAATAATCTGCCCGAAACACACCACCCTCTCGCGACAGGCCGCATCATGCTACCCCATCATTGATTATTTTCCTATAACCTTACATCCTTTTATGTTTTATTCCTCTCTTAGAATTCCTATGGATTTGGTCTTTTTCTGCATGCCTAGAGGTTGATTGATGTGGTCACACAGGGGGCATATTCATGAGGAGGGCCATAGAAGACTGTGTTTGCAAAAAAAAAATTGTCAAACACCCCAGGATTAACAGATGAACTTTAACTCCTGTGCCTAGCAGTGAATTGTAAGGTCCAATTGTGTCTGTTTATGCAGTAGATATTCAGCTCTTTGCTTTGTTAAAAGATATTCAGGTCTGTTGAGATCCCAATGTACAAAGCAGTGGTTATATAATTGCAGATAATACTTGAACTGTCACGTTACAAATAGGGGAAATTAATCCAAAATGATAAACAAAACAAAACAAAAATAAAAACAGTAATGGTGCAGAATACAATTTGTCAAAGATTGTAGTTATCTCATTTAGCAAGCATTGTTATTATTATATTGTCAAGAAACAAAATAGTGTGGAGTTTGACGTGTTTACAAACAATTGCATTATTCCATTAAAACGAACTAGTTAGCAAATGGCACCACTGTCATTTCATCTGTTCAACAGGTTTTCTTTTAAATTCATTACTAGGGCTAATGCTTCATTTTCAATTCATATGGAGGATGAAACATGTTCTTTGTAATAAAATTAGGTCTCAGCATCGCTGGCGTGGTACTCATCTGGTGTTGTGTGTGTGTGTGTTGCTCTGCTTATTGTATGAAAGTTTGACAGGAGAGGATGAAGTAGCCAAGTTAGAAGAGATTTTTCATAATGCAGTGTTCTGCTTCAGGCCACATCAGAATTTAGAAGAGCAGGCAGAAAGTGCTGAGGTCGGGGGATATTTTAGTAGATAACAGGAAATGCCGGGTTGAGGTTTGAGGACAAGCCATCAAGGTTTCAGGTATAGAGGTAGAGAGACAGACAGAGAGAGAGAGAGAGAGAGAGAGAGAGAGAGAGAGAGAGAGAGCATCTTGAACTGTATAGGCAAGCGAGAAATGACCAATGAAAGAGAGCTTGGCAAGAATAATGTAGGCTGGAGGCTAGAGTGTTTACAACACCAGGGAAAGCAGTTCAGTGGTTATATAATTCGTTTTCATGTGTCTGATGGTAATTATTTTGACTTCAATTAAACTGCATGAGAATGAGTGTGTGTGTGTGGGGGGGGGGGGGGGGGGTCTATATCTGATAGATTTTTGACAGTTATCTGACAATATCTGCAGCTTTTACTATTTTTTAAAATATATATTCCAAGTCTACTTTCCTTTATGTTACTGAGGTTAAGGTTAGGATTAGGTTTAAGTGTATGCATAGCATTAAATAGCTGCATTAATACTTGTTAATGGAAGGTCCTAAAATAGACAAATGCGGGTGTGTCTGTGGGTGCCTGTCTCTGTGTGTATAGGGTAGGTGTCGGTGTCTGTGCATGTGTGTGTATATGTGTTGTTCTGTGGGTTTGTGGATTGTAAAAGACCATTTTTCCTTATTTAACACTACTTACTATGGCTGTAGCATGTCCATTCTCCTTACTACAAAGTTATTATCTGTTTTCTACTTTTTTTTTACCATCTTGTATTTTTCTTGGAAAATACTTTTGTGAAAACAGCTGTAAAAAACCTTGCCTCATGCAGGCTTTGACAGCAGGCTTATAAATGATATATTAAAACAGATAGATCAGTTTAGATCATTAACAAACAGATCAGTTTCTCTTACTTCTTTCTACTTTCTATTAGAAATAGAGCTCGCAGAAAGTACCCTCCTTATTTACTAACTACAGTTGTTTTAAGGAAGCAGTAAAAACACATTTTGGTTAATAAACGTATGGTCATTTTGTACTACAAAATGTGTATATCCAGTCCAGAAAATACAAACCACATACTAGTTAATGGCCGCACAGAGGAATGTAAAGTATGCACGCTTAAGGAAAGAATAGGAAATCGGGGGTGAGTTTTGAGTATTTAATCATTTATATGAAAACCTGGAATTTTATATAAGACATAAGATGCACGGATTTGTAAAGTTGTTAGAAGTGATTAGGATTTGTTAAAACAACACTTAAAAACCATGATTCTTTTTGTTCATATCGAGTTCTTTTTTGCCTGAACCACCCCTTTGCCAGACAGCGCAATGGTTTGGTCCGTAGTGGGAGGGTTTGTTCTGTGGGGAACTCAACACAGATCAATGAACGGAGCTAAACAAACGGGTTGGGCAATCGAACTTAAGGACGGTCGTGGGATGTATGAGTCCTGTTTTAACATATAGCGTTTTTTCCTGGTAGTTTTTGTGTGCAGACGAGTCGAAGTTGGATTCAGTAATAGCATCGACAGGTCTATATGTTTTATAGAATCAGATATACAACTTTACTACCTTCCAGTATCTTGGATATTGACACTTACGAGCGCGAATAACAACTGACAGTAAATCATCTTTGCGGCGGTACATCGAGTACGAGGATGATTTTTGTGAATTCTGGCAACCCGCTGAGAAACACATATCGTAAACAGGTAAAAGAGCAAGCACTATTTTTTTGCTGATTGTTACTACTGTTACCGACCAAGTCGAGGTTGATCCTACCAGCCAAATAATGTATGAGCAGAATAATCTGTGTTGGGTTTTGTGTAACACTGGAACTAACTCTTAACATAAACAGCAGGCTGTGTGATTATCTTCCAAATGCTAAAGGCTGAAACATGCATAAGTTTCATTTAAGCCTATATTTAACCCTGTGTCAGAGTGTTGTGGATTATAAAGATAAGAGCCACTTCCGATCTGTTTGGTTATAAGGTTGTTTTTTTTCCATCTAACAGCCTTTCATTCACAAACTCAGTATTTCAATTTCACAATATCAGCTTATGATCTTAAAGGTTAAAAGATTAAACCTAATACCAGGAACCTGTCAATGCAAATCTTCCATGTCATAGTTTAAATATCAGCTTTTAATTCCTGTAAGCTATCCAGCTTGATCAAAGTGAGTTTTAGACATCATGGATCATGGATTTGAGCTGCATCTCATACACACTAGCTACAGTCTTGATGTGGGGTTAATCTGAGGGCAGGTGAGATCAGATAAGTGAGAGAAGTGACCTTAGGGGTTCTTCAGTTGTCCCTCTGTTGGAAGTCTTAAAGATTCTATGTAGAACCCTACAACAGTGTTTCACTATCAGAAAGGGTTCCATGTAGAACCTGTAGTTATCCAATGACCAATTAAAGAACCCTCGAAGAACTTTTTTTTTTTTTGCCTAAGAGTGTATCTATAATCCTAGGAGTATTGCGTAGCATTGTTTCTGTCATATGTGTTAGTCTAAATGATAGAAATGGCACGCCATGTTTTCAGACTTGATGAAGATTTCAAAATTTATGAGCTTGTCAGGACATTGATTGGCAGTAAAGGAGAGACTAAAGAGGATTAAGCATACTTGTAGACAGGTTTAGCAGTGTGTGAGCTGAGCAGGGAGAGGTTAGGAGATCTCAGGGTGAGGCCTCTTACTGGTAAGCCAATGTATTTCCAGTGCGGATATGACTAGCTATCTGAGTCTGGGGCAGGCCGATAACAGTCTCCCCTCCTTAGACCGTCTTTCGTTTTTTTTCTCTCTCTCTCACTCACGCTCTCCTTTTCTGTCGGAGCTGAATACACAGCAGTAAGGAACAATCAGGCTTTGAGATGGTCAGAAAAGCCAGGTCTGCTGGAGTATGGCCAGGAAAAAGAACTGTAAAAGTGGACAGGGCTGCTCTCTCCTCAAAGATGCTCTTTGTCCTCTCTTAGTTCCAACCAGTGCGGAACGCTTCCTGGTAGAGCGTTTGTCCTCCATTGGGATGATTAGATAATGTTTTTATTTTAAGAGGATTTGAAAGACTACACTGCAAAAATGTATAAGGGATGTCATGAGATGAAGAATGAATCCACTGTTCCTCTGCATTGTTCCAATGTTGAATAGTTTTAAATAGGAATATATATAACGTAGAGGGTGACATGACAAAAATATCACGATACTGGACACTTCTATGATTCATTATATGTATTATAATATATAGGTTTGGTAACAAACTGGCAACAAAACAGTAGTGTGGCATTAAAAAGAGGGGGCAGTCGTGGCCTAATGGTTAGAGAGTCGGACTTGTAACTCAAAGGTCGTGGGTTCGAGTCTCAGGTCTGGAAGGGATCATAGGTGGGGGGAGTGAATGACCACTCTCTTCTACCCTCAATACCACGACTGAGGTGAGACTCTTGAGCAAGGCACTGAACCCCCACCAAAACCCCGGGCGCCGCAGCAAAATAGGCTGCCCACTGCTGTGTGTGTGTGTGTGCACTTGGATGGGTTAAATGCAGAGCACAAATTCCAAGTATGGTCACCATACTTGGCCACAATTCACTTCACTTAAAAACAGTTCAGTTACACTTTCATTTAAAAGCAACAAAGATCAGTTATTTAACACTGAAAAACATTCCATACAAAAATGAACATCTATTTAGCCAATTCCAGTCAGAATTAGTATAAAACGTAATTTTTATAGAAATCCTTGATTATATCTGTGATATATCAGAAAAGTTTATTGTGACAATATCAGTATGATAGTTATCATATTCCCCAGCCCAGTTGAAGGCTAGAAAAAGGCCTGGCGACATATTTCCAATCTTCAACTATCTAGTTTGGGTGAGTCTGTGCCCACTGTAGCCTCAGATTCCTGTTCTTGGATGACAGGAGTGGAACCTGTGTGATGTGATCTTCTGCTGTTGTAGTGCATCAGTTTCAAGGTTCAACTTGTTGTGCCTTCTTAGTTGCTTTTCTGTTCACCATGGTTGTAAAGAGTAGTTATTTGAGTTACCTTAGCCTTCCTGTCAGCTCGAACCAGTCTGGCCAATTTTCCACTGACCTCTCTGATTAACAAGGTGTTTCTGCCCACAGAACCACCACTCACTGGTTGTTTTTTTCCTGCTTTTCGCACCATTCTGTGTAAACTCTAGAGAGAATCCTAGGAGAGTAGCAGTTTCAGAAATACTCAAACCAGGCATCTGACACCAACAGCCATGCCAGTGTTATCAAGAACAAAATCTCTTCCACATTCTGATGTTTGATGTGAACAATAACTGAAGCTCTTGGCCTGTATGTGCATGATTTTATGCATTGTGCTGCTATCACATGATTGGCTGATTGGATAATTGGAATGAATGTACAGGTGTTCCTTATCAAAGTAAGTGACTGTGTGTGTGTGTGTGTGTGTGTGTGTGTTTGTGTGTGTGCACACACACATATACATATATATAGCATGTATATACTACAGTATAGTGTATATATATAGTATAGCACATATATAGACATATAGTACTGTCCCTGATAAATGACGGTGTACTGAAGTCATCATTAGTCACACAACATAGCCCACAAAAATCATTATGACTTACCAAGCTGCATAATTATCTGTGATTATAATATTACATTAAATATCAGATTTAATTGCATCAGACATTGCTTAATACAATTCTCTGACATGTATCATTAAATGCTGGAACATGATAAAATTAAATAAAAAGCATTAATCTGTAAATAAGTATGTGTAACTGGCAAAATTGTGATTTTCTATTGTGATTTTTATTGATGTACACTTTATTGTGTTATTGTCCTTCCCTGCTTACACATTGTCCTAATCACAATACATTTCCTGATGGACTCCTCCCAATTCTTTCCATTCTGTTATCTCTTTCTTATATAATTCAGATAGGGTCGGCCTCATAAGAATGCAAGCTACAGACAGAATTTGGCTCTCATACTTGGAAGTCTTGCCAGTGTTCCTTCTGGTTGGACTCATGATCCTGTCTCATTTGCCATGCCATGACCTCATAGCCTCTGTGCAGCTGTTTTATAACTATACTATGAAGTACCTTTGGGTTGCCAGACCATTTGAATATTGGCTTGGGCCTGTCCTGCTGCATAATTGCTTTTATGTGCATAGACCTTTCATGGAATGATATTTTGCTCATCATTACATCTGAGCTGAGGCCTGTTTTTCAGCACCCTGTAATATCAGTCTCATACAGTAGGGCTTTAGCTTTACTGCAGCTCCTGAACAGGTGCTGGAATAGAAACACGATTTACATTTAGTCTTTGATATAAAAGTAAAAACACTTATCAGGAATGTTCAGGTCAGTAGTATGAGGGGAAAGAGGCATAATTGCACACGTTTGGCCAATTGTCTTTTATTATCAGAAGAAAAGTCAAATTCAGACTTACTGAGATGAGTCTGGGTAAATTTGTACGAAATACAATGAGCCACATTGACAGAACCATGGTCATGCCTTGTTCTCCTCTAATGAGGCCGATTTTAGTACTCCTGTGTCTCTCCGAGAGCCTGTGTGGAGAAAGGGAGCGGCTGGATTTGGGGAATTCCTACAAATATTAGCTTCAGACCATAGATTTATGTCAAGAATCCAAACATGTAAACAAGATATTCCTGCGTAAAGTTGTACCGATCTAATACTGAGTATCGGCATTGAGGCTGACGTTGTTTTGCGTAGAACGTAAGGTAAAATTGTCTTAAAGGTCCATATGTGCAGTCCATACAGTTAATAATATGATGTCAGTTTTGGATCAGCATTAGATATCAGGCAGTACTTCAAGCTGTGATGTCAGGATTATACTGAAAATGGAAAAAGTATCTCTGAGTATCTCTATTCCTGACTATTGCAACATGTTTGTCAAATATTATGATGTGTATAAATACACAAAAAAGAAAGTTCAACCACTGATATTAGTAACCATGTGGTACACCATGATACATAGTTAATGATTAATATTGTGGGATATATGTTGTACATGACCGTATTATAGTTTCTGAACGAAGTAAGGATCTACTTTCTGTCAGTTATTGTTATTAATATTTCTCTGTCTGAATGTGCATTGTGTTCAGTGGATTAATCTGTCTCTAATTTGGAAATAATAATTACACAGAGACACCGGTGAATCATTTTGGCACCCTTTTGGGTAGTGATCCGTTTAGACACAGAGCACAGACACAGGCCATCCCTTTAAGTTAATTGTTAAGGTTGATCTGCGTTCCATTTAACTGTCGTTTTACTTAGTCACACTGTAAGAGTTTTGCCAATGTCTTCCTGAATACTGTCTTTGACCAGTTTCGGCTAGCTCTTCTCCAAATACAGCTATATCAGGGCTGATACTTTCTTTGTCCCAAATGGTGCACTAATGGCCACGTGGTGCTTGTTTACTTGAGCCTGAAAAGTTTGCAAGGCTGTAAGGAGTCCCATTTCCCATTTTGGGCTCCCATTTTGCTCACAAACACCCTCTAGGCACCCTATGGCACAGCCTGCATCAAAGCAGACTCAGCAGTGGTCCCTGACCCACAGCTCCCTGCAATTGTGAGCAAGGACTAGTCGTAGCAGGTAAGATGAGAGTCAAATCAAGTTAGAGTCTTGAAGGGTCTGTCGTTATAACCAGCATAGCAACATGAAGGTAGCATTAACGTAGCATGTAACAACCTGTGCAAAACAACAAATCCTATCAAACAGCTGATTAAACTGAATGTGATATTATATAATCTATAGTGTACCCACACATAATGTTATGTGGAGCTACTGCTACTGTTTAAATTTGTCAGTGAAGGAACAGATGAATAAACATTTTATTCATCAATGGAAAATGAAGTTTAAAGTTTTGCTAGTCATTGTTTTGCAACAAATTATTTCTAATTATTTCTTGCTCATAGCTTGTAGTAACAATCTTTACAAGTGTTTGCATGAGTAATGACATGCAAGTGTGTGACTCTCCATCAGTATATCAGCATGGCGAACCACTGTGAAAACACCACACTGAACATAACAGGCAACAAATGCTAACTTGTAAAACTCTCAAGCCCTCGATCACTCACACCTCTCAGCCATGTCAGCAAAGTGTGAACTTGGAGAAGGACCACAGGACTTAGGGTGCCATTTGGAACAAGGCCATAACCATTGTTCTCTCCCAGCTGTACTGTTTTTACTCTAAACTAGGAAGATTTTCAGTCTTATTAGTGGTTGAAGCAAAGAGTAGGTTCTGGCCTATCCCCTCTCCTTGGGCCGGACGTTTACGGTTTCCTCTTTAGCCTGTGATTCATAAATACTTTCGAGATGGGAAGCTTCAAGCACAGCGGCGCAGTTTGGTTGTGTTCTCAGAAGCAGCTTTGTGTGAAATTAAAATTCCAGCCAGTTTTTCTGGCCAATAAGACGCTAGCCAGGTTTGGCCAAAAACAAAGTTAAATACATACAGGGTTATGAGGACATGAGCAGAGTGTACTGCCAATGTGTTGTATCTCTGCTTTGGTTCTTCCATAGGGAGGAGAAAAGGTCTGGAACACTCTAAAATCCCAGACAGCGAGTGTTAAATTGCCGAGGAGACTTGTGAACGCTGGAAAGACGATCTGAGCCTCTGGAGGACGTCCAGACTGTGATTGCTCAACGCTGTCACTGCCTCATTCCTCGGATTCCGAGCACTTCCTCTTTTCTTGTGACTCCTTGAACATACTGTGAAAGAGAGAGAGAAAGGGGTAATCAGAGTGGAACAGAGGGAGTACTTGAAGAGGAAAAGCTCCCCAGCTCAGAACATCTGTGTCCATGCAAACAGGACGGAAGTGATTGGCTCTGCCATACAAGAGCTCTTTTATAATGTGAAGAATAGGGCTATCTAACTGGCGCAGTAAAAGCCTGTCCAAATATCCCCCAAGATTTTCTCTGGTATGCGTGGTCTTTCAGTGGACAACCTGTTTCCGGCCTAATTAAGGGTTTATATTTATAGGTTTTGCACATATCTGATTAAATTGTTGGGAGTGCACGATTTGTACTGAGGCAAAACATATGTTACTCAGAAGCTTGCTGTTTTGTGGTTGAATGTTAATGTATTTAACATCTCACGTGAATTTCTTAATGCTTAAGCACAGCATAGTTTCAGTTTTGCATGCCAAAATAAAACAGAGATAAGTACTTGAGGTACTTTACCTCACAGTTGTAGTAGGTTTTGCACAGCATACACACATCACACCCTGCAGGTTTGACGCAGTGTTGTCATTCTTTTCCTGTTGCTTACTTTTCATTCCCAGACGTGCCTCTCCGACTGGTTTGCATGTAAGGACCTTGGCATGCAAGTGGTTTCCTGTGTGTGTGTGTGTGTGTG